AGTAAGTACCTATTATATGCTCAGTAGGGAACACGTGACATATAGTCTCTGTTCTCATGAAATCTAGGACATATTTTTTCACACTTTCCACAAAGACAGCATGAAAAGATCTAGCTGAAGTCTGGCTACACTGCAATTACTACATTTCCTTTATTAGTCTAGAAACCACGTAAATTCTAGGAAATTAGAATTACTGATGTGACCTAGTGAATCCATGCTATATCTAGTGATCACTATTTCCTATGACAGGGCTTCTAAAACCTTTTACATAATCTATCCTAAAATATTGCCAGAGTTCAATATTAGACTCATCAATCTATAAATGTATAACCATGCTGCCCAACACAGTAGCCACTGGTCACAATGGCTATTTAAATTAATTTTAACAAAATTGACAGTTTCTCAGTCACACTAGCCATATTTCAAGCATTCAACATGCACATGCGACCAGTAGCTACTGCACTGGATGGTAAAGATATAGAGCATTTCCATCATCACAGAAAGTTCTACTGGACAGTGCTGGTCTACCGTTTTTGGTATTCACTTCTGGCCTCCCAGAAGAAACTTAAAACAAAAGTGTTATTTTCCAGTCTCCTGAGAACTCTCTGGGAGTCCACAAATATCCTGAGAAGTTCCATACATCCGATATCATCCCTATCATCATAACCACCATCACCCCCACCAATTATCATCAGAGCAGCTGAGTTTTATTGAGAACTTAATATTGTATATTCCCACACTTTACTAAAAGTTTTGTATTATCTCATTTATTATTCACAACAATCACATGAAGTAAAACTCTTATTCCCATTTTATGAATAAAAAGGTTAACTGACTTTTAAACAATAAAGTAATTCAAAATTATTCAGCTAGGAAGTGACAGCAATCCATAGACTTTAAGCAAATTAATAATTATTTTGCCTTTTTAAGACACACTTTTTAACAAAAAGGAGTGATATCAACACCTCACGCTGACACTCAACATCCCAAACTACTTGCAAATCCCCCAATTTGCCCTACAGCTCTCTTGCCTTAAAGTTCTGCACACCCTGTTACCCTGGTTTGCATCCTTTTCATTAGGCCAAATCCTACTTATCCTTAAGATCTCATCTTAGATCTTCCCACAACCCAGTTTAGGGATTCATCCCATGAGCTGATGGAGAACCCTGTATGTCACCAACTAAAGACCACAAACTCCTGTTAACTTTTCCTCTTCTCCCACCAGTATGAAACTCCTTAAGAACAAGAGACCCTGTCCCTTATTTATCATAGAGTCCATCTGGCCTAGCTCAGGACTGGGAACACAAAAGATACTCAATAAATATTTAATAAGTGAAGAAATAATGGAAACAGGAGGCTTATTCAAATCATTTCACAGGTATTCATTCAACCATATAAAACATTATCTAATTTGACTTTTACACAAACCTATGCTTCTATTCAATCACAGAATGTTAAAAGTATACACTAAGTTGGTAACAAAGTATTTCAAAAACCTTTTTTCCCACTAATATGCAAAACAATACTTAACTTAAACCCCAAAGGTCAGGGGGTGACTGCTAATGGGTTTGGAGACTACTTTCTGGGGTGATAAAAATGTTCTAAAATTGACTGTCATGATGGTTGCACAAAAAAATTGAATTGTACACTTTAAATGGGTGAGTTGTGTGGTATGTGAATTATCTCAATAAAACTGTTATAAAACAGAGGTCTGCAGGTAGTAGACATTAATTATGAAAACTATTAAGCCTGGGAGGGAAAAAAAAAACACCTAGAAGATAAAATACTTGTTATAGCCATGCAATTTTAAAATAGCTAAATGCCATATTATTGTTCCAAATTTCACTGGTTAGGAAAAATAACTGCCTTGAGGAATAACTGGATGGGACAGGAAAGACTCTTCTCTGTGTACTTATTTATACCTTCTAATTTAGTACCTGTATTACTTAAAAAAAAAGTATACATACGATTAATAAAAAAAATTAGCATATATAAGTCATATCTCTCCTTAGTGCAATACAAGTAACACTCCCAGGCTGCATATTTTGTTCTGAAAACAATAAATTAAAAATTTTTTTAAATAAATCAATCCAGGAACATTTGTCTCACCTCACACTAAAAAGCATTTTGTCATTTCTCTGTTGTTAGACATTACAATCAAGTGAAATTCTCTCTTACCCAACATGCTAACACATTTTTAAACAATGACACAGTTGATCATGCCCTCCTCCTTGAAAACTTTCTTTCCTTCCCTTCTCACACTCCCTTGGTTTTCCTAACTCAGTGTCTCTTATCAGTCTCCTCTGCTGGGTTCCTCTTCATTTCCCTCGAAGATATCTATTACAGAAGACAAGTTCCATGAAGTCAGGGGTTTTGGCCAGCTGTGTTCACTACTGTATCCCCCAAGAGCTAAAAGAGTACCCAGAACCATACTCAATTAATAACTGTTGAATGAATAAATGAATGAGTCAGTACCCCAAGACTCAGATATTGAAGACACAGAAATAAATTTTTATTATATTCCACATAACCTTTATGCTGTTCATTACGTTTTATTTCTCTAAAAATTCATAATCAATGTACTGATTATTATTTGGTTAACCAAAATACTTCATTCCCTGGTCTTTCCCCATCAATGTTTTTTGATATAGTATGTGTAAAGTGCACATTTAACAGCTCTTATACTACTTCTAAAACCATAAACATAGTGTAGAAAAAGAGCAGCTGTTGTTATTAGAACCTTCACTTTTACTGTTTCCAGAATTAATGTTGAATTAACAGATTGACATACTTATCTGACTTTAGTAATGAAAAAAAAAAGAACACCTCAGCGGACTCAACAAGGATATCACAGTAATGACCAGCAAACAGTATTTCTTGAAAAATTAAATGTAGGGGAGTTTTTTTTCAGGCATGAGAAATTCTAAAGAGAAACAGGTCACTTCTACTTTACATTTTCTCCAAAGTACATGATTACTTCCTGCAAGAAGAATCCATCTCACTGTCAGCCACGCTAATGTTATTTTAGCAATATACAGTTTCATCCAGAATCTCAGTTCACATTTGTCCCATATGTACCCAATTAAATCAAAGTATAATTTAAAACCCAAAACTAGATATGTGAATTTTGATTTTTCCTTCTACATAAATAATGCAAAATAAAAACTATTCATTGTACCAACTTATAATTTGATCTGTGCAAATATGGTTAAGTCTTATTTATAATTACAAATAGGGCCACGCCCTGCTTATCTTAATAGCTTTTATATCATCTGTTTCCTATAAGTCTCTTCAAGCAGAAGTATCTGCTAGAAGATAATAGTCTGCTCATTAAGTAGGCATGTTAAAGGAGGCAATGATCTGCAACTACTAACACTGACATCTGTATATTTTTCTCTTGGGTTACAGGAAAGCACTTCTCTGGCTATCTTCCCAAATTACTGGGCTGTCAGAAAAGTCATGACGTATTTTTTTCTATGTTTTTCATTGAAAAAATGCGTCATGACTTTTCCGACAACCCAATAACTGAGTAAAGCCTTGGGAAAGTCGCTGCTGAAATTTCACTTCATGGAGGTTTCTCTTCCTCCATAAATGAATTATTGAGGGTCATGCCTACTTCATCCATTACATAATACATGTCTATCACAGCACCTATTTCCAAGTGAGAAATAGTTTACATGACACTGATAGGTAAGGTCAGTGAATACTGTAATCCAATAGGGAGCAGGAATCCAGAAAAGAAGATTCTGATTTACTGTGCTGTATGAAACACTGATGTGAAGAACAACACTGATGCTAAGAACACTAAACACTGTTTACTCTCAGTAACATCTCCCTATGAAGTAGCAGACACATGCCCCAAAAATGTTATTAAAGAGCATTTTTAAAGCACTTGACTCCAAGAACACTACTCAGAAATTGAAGGGTCTACCAAAAATAAAATATTCCATTTTATTTTTAAAGTGCCTAATAAAGACATCTGCAATTGAGAAATAAAAACAATCAATAATTTTGTTGAACACAAAATGTCGAAATGTCAAGGTCCATTGAAAAACGAGCTGTAAAAGACAGTTGTGCTTTAAAACATTTAAGCACTTTTCATATAATTAGCTCCAACAGAACTGTTTCAAATTGTTCATTTTATCCATCCAAAGCAGTCAACCACAACCACAACCACCTTCAAGGATTACTCAGAAATGTGTCTTCCAAAGCAACCGATTCTCAGGCCTGCTCTTAAGGGGCCAGGATAGAGCTTGTAAATAAAGTGGTAAAAAGAGATCTTTTGGACACAGAAAATAGATGGGACGATAACACCTGAAGGACCTATTTCCCTAAATAAAGTTGTTTTAACCCACAATGATCTCAAACTTCTTGAAGGGTAAAACTTCAAATCCATCCACACTCACAATTTACCCAACCTGGGCCAAAAGCAGAGGGATTCTCTTCCCTTCCCGACCCACCCCACTCACCACGCCAGGAGGGAAAAAAGAAAAATAACCAAAACCCTAAAGTAGAAACGTGAGACAGTGCAACAGCTTCTTCAACTGCCTCAAAGGGAACATCCACAGCTCATCTTCCTTTTGAAATACAACCCCTCACCTCCTATCTTAACATTTCCCAGAAGGGAGAAAAAAAAAAAGAATCCTCATCTCTTTCAGCATTTTACGTCACCCAAATCCACAGATCCACCCTGACCGCACCCCAACCTCCTCACGTCTCCCCAATTTCTCTATCTCTCCACTACCTCGCCCGCAACATCACGCCTCATCAATCTTCCACCCTCCGTTCTCCCAACGCCCAGAGCCCGGGTCTCCCACCTCCCGCCCGGGGGGTTACCCACGTCCAACGTCTCAGCTCCCGCCCAATCCCGACCTCCACTGGGTGGAGCCCGCCGGTGGGCTGGGGTGGGCTGGGATGGGCTGGGGTGGGGTCCGCCCCTCCCCGACTTCCCCATCCCCCCCGGCGGCGACACGAGGGGGAGGGGGGTCCCGAAGCCTCACCTACAGCTCCGCCCCTCCCCGGGGGCGCGCTGCCCTGCCCTAGCCAGGGCCGGGAGGAAGAAGCAGGGTAAGAAAAGGCAAAAAAGCCTCAGGGCCAGCGACAAGCGGGAAGCTCTAGGTCCCGCCTGACTTCCGACCTGCAGACACCGCGGCCGTCTCACCCTCCTCGGAGCTGCTGCTGTTGCTGCTGATGCCGCCCCGGCGCCGCCAATGCCGCCGCCACCGCCGCCAATGCCGCCGCCACCACTGCCGCCGCCGCCGCCACAGCCACAGTACAGCCGGGGCGCCCGCTGACGTCACGTCGCCCCGCCCCCTGCGCGAGACACCTAGCCCCGCCCAGGCCCTGGCCGCGAGACGCAGCCGGCGCCGCCTCGCTTCCCCGCGCCCTCCACCGAGCGCAACTCGGCGCCCCCGGGCCTCCGGCGCCTTCCCGGGAAGGCGGGTTATGGGTTGGGAAGCGGGGATGACTCAGGCTCCAGCGAGGGTTCCGCACTGAAGCTAAGTAACGGACTCGGGCGTCCACAAATGTACACACCCCCACACGCTGCCCCTGCGGCCACGGGAGGTGAGAGCCGGAGCCCGCTCTGGAAGGCGGCTGCCGGTGGGAGCGAGGAAAGACGGCGTTTGTCTCCTTCTGCTTGCCGTAGGAAGTGGACCGGCCGGGCCCAGAGAGCAGAATCATCGTCGCCTTCCCAAACCTTATAATCGCCCCACCCCCTCCTTGGTGGGGCCGTTACACAAACCCTGGGACCGCCACCTCGGTACGGAGTAGGTCCAAGGATTGGCGGCATATTCCCGGCTGCGCTCCCACGGCCCAGTGAGCACGCTTTTTGTCCGAGGGAATTTGCATTTTCCCCCCACAGCTAGCTTTTGCGAAATGTGGCAGCTGAAGGTAGTAATGTGACCTGAGACACCCGGGGCTATCCACACGGCCCTAGGGAAAGAACTTAGGTGTCGCAGAAAACCCACGCAGTGTAGATCGTTTTCCTGTAGTGATGAGGATGGGAGAGGAGCGTGGGCGGAAATTAATGTCCACATGCAGTCCCTGCGATGTGCCAAGCACTGTGCTACGTTGCCTTGTTTAGTACTCGCGACAGCGATGCGAGACTATCAGGCAACTGGTAACCGTATTTCGGGCAACCCAATTTTCCTGTACTGAGTCGCAGTCAGGTTTCTTTTGTCGGAGCCAAGGAGAGGGTAACTGCATCCACTAATTTTAAAATGTGGGTAAGCTATCTCTAAAGAGTGTAAGAGTAATGTGAGTCATATTTATTCCTAGCCTTCTAGTGTTTATTAAACTAATTTTAAATGCCCTTGAAAGGAGTTAAATCATTTTACTTCTTTCTCTCCACCACCACAATTAACCAGCTTGCACCATGTCATTCATGATGCCACTAACATTTTCCCATCTCTCCTCAGTATTCACATTCAGTCATTCTCCAGATTCTGTTTCATGCTGACCAGGCTCTCTAATTGTTTCATCAACATAACCACACAACTTGGATTATTACAGATCCCGGTCCTGCTGTATAGTCGCCCCCTTCAGTACATTCAACACATGGCTACCAATTGTTAGACTGCTGCGGTAGAAGACTATAAAACTGCCAAATAAGCATCCTAAAATTTCATTTTCTTGGACATCTGGCTATTGACCCAGGAAAAGCCATCCTTCCTTAACTGTATTTCAAGATCTTTCTCACCTGACTGCTGATCTGTTCATCTTGTTAATCCCAGCAATGTGGTGAGGAGAAAGAAAAGTAGTCATCTTTCTAGTTTCTACTCTCCACTCTCCATTCTGCCACTCACTGTTTGTGTGACCTTGGGAAAATCACTTTACTTCTGGGTCCTGCTTTTCTTATCTGTAAAATGGGGTGTGAACTAGATATCTGAGATCCATCATCTCTCTAAAATGTGTGGTTCTGGAGAGTTAAGATGCTAAGCACTAAGTTATATATACATAGGGATACTGTCAATATTACAGATTCAGAGTTGTTTTGTTTGTTTGTTTGTTTGTTTCACCATTCCACTGGTTGTTTTTTCTTATTTCCTACTCTGCCCCAAATATCTTTTTAAAACCTACATTTAGGTATCTGATAAACACTTGTCTTAATAGGGAGACCACTTCATGGACGGTGTAGATGCCTGACCACTGCACTATACACCTGAAGCTGAATAATACTGAATGTCAACTATAATATATATATTCATATATATATTTCATGATATATATATATATTCATGATATATATATATATATACTCATATATATCATATATATTCATAATATATATATTCATAGGATGTGGAGTACAAAGTAGGGACGAGTCAATGGAATTGTAACAGCTATATACGATGTCAGAGGGGTAAGTAGATTGGGGGCTGGGGGTTATCACTTTGTGAGGGGTGTAAATGTCTAACTATTACATTGTTTTGTACACCTGAAGCTAATTAAAAAAATAAAACACTGTCAATTTAAAAAAAACTATACTTAGGATTTGTGTATTAAAGCTGGCTAACTGAGCACATGCATTCATTGCCTCTTCTTCCTGAGACCCCATTAAAATGCTAAGAAAAGAATAAAAAATTATACAAACCCATACAAAATAGAAAATGGGAAGGCAGCCCCATAATTTTTTTTTAATTTTACATACAGAAAGTGGGTGCAGTCTAACTAAACAAAATGGAAAAAACCATAACGTGGAATAGATGCAGGGGATGCTGTGGCCAAGGAAGGGGGACTATCTGCCAGAGTGATTTAAAGAGACTGAAATTTGGAGACATGAGACAAAATAAGAGTGAGAAGCAGGGCTGAAAATAGGGAGACCAAAGGTCTGTGTATAGGACAGCACAACCTTCCTTGTATCTCAGATACAATAGCTAGGCATTTATCCCAGGCTAAAAATCAAGAGTTCTCATAATCCCTGGGGAGGATTGGTCAGCCATTTAAGCATTTAATGACTAAGAATAAAGCATTCTTCATTCTGGAACAATGGCCCGTTTCCTACCCAGTCACCCTAGAGTGAAGTTGTGCAAGTTGGCAAGACCCTACTAAGTTCACAAGATTCCTAATCAGCATTCCAACTACCTCATCTTAAACAGGAACAGACAACCAAGGATTATTAGATATTTAAGGGAAGTCTTCAACTTGTGGGGAGGGGGTGAAGATAAACAAAAAATGTGACCATAGAGGAAACAGGAACTTCAGAGAACTTTAAAAAAAAAATTAGTATGCTCATACATGTTTACTACACCTATGAAACAAGAATAGTATACTCAGATGAAGTAACAATCCAAGAATAAAAAGCAGGTCTTGAAATTAGAAATAAGAAATTGCCAAAATTATAAATTTACCTGAAGTATTAAAAGATAAAGTCAATGCAATTTTAAAGAAAATAGAAGAAATATGCAATTTCAATTTATTTTAATATTAAATTTATATATTATATATATTAATATATACAGTATATTAAATTTATTTTAAAGAAAATAGAAAAATATGAAATTGCAAAAGAAAATATAAGAGAAAAGTCAACCCAACAGGACTGATATTACATGAGAAAGAGAAAACAAAGTAAATAAAGGATGGAAAATTACCCCAAAAATAATGGAAGAAAATTTCCCAGAGCTTCAAACATCCACTAGTGTGAAGCAAAAACAAAAAAACAACCTGTGAAATGTTGTAACTAAAGATAAAGAGAAGATCCTAAATTTCCGAAGAGGTAAAAAAAAGTGACCCATAAAATATCAAGAATCAAGCTGGAATTAGAAATCTTACCAGCAACACTAGATATGAGAAAATAACAAAGACTTTCAAGTTTCTGAGGGAAATATTTCTTGAACTTCAAGGGGTTTTTAAAAAGATTTTATTGGGGAATTGGGGGAGAGGAACAGCGCTGGGGAATAGGGGAAGGGGAACAGACAAGTTGCTGTCCTTTTGTTCTTCAGTCTAGTTGAGGACATTGCTTCACTGGCCCATGTTGGTATTATCATTGCGCTCTTCCTGGGCAGCTCACAAAAGCGTACACCGGCTGCCTGCCAGCCCCACTGCAGCCTATGCCGTCGTCAGCGACTCACGGCAGCCTAGCTCCAGGTGGAGCTGTTGTTCACCATCTTAGCTGTAGAGGGCGCAGCGTCACTGACCCTCATGTGGGATCCGAATCAGGGCCCTACTGCTCAGAGCTGGTGTCCCAAGCCAACTCCTAACCAATGCGCCACTGGGCCGGCCCTTGAACTTCAAATTCTTAGGGAAAAAACATTTTTTAAACTCTATTCCTGCTGAATTATCATTAAGTAAAAGAGCAGAATGAAAACATTTTCAGATATACAGGGACTCATAAACTCCCACACACCCCTTTATAAAAAGATTTACTTGAAGATGTGCTCAAGCAAAATGTAGAAAATAGTGTATCTTACAACAGCATATGCAGGAATCACGGCATCAAATTCAGGAAGTCCCAAGTCCAAGGCTAGATTGGAATAGAAGGATTGGAGTTCTGGGGGAGAAATCTGAAAAAGAAGAATATGACTGAATGATTAATTACTATGATAGACAGATTAGAGAACGCTGTTTTCTGGTACTCAACTTTTAGACCCAACCTATTAATAAATTATAATCTTGCTATAGCTAAGGCATAGTTTATAAATTATACCAATGACTATGTAACCTAAGTCCTAAGCACTGACTCCATATTTCCCTCCTCACCCCCCATTCCCCTACACTCCACCCCTGGAAATTACCCTTCTTCTTTCTGTTTCCATGAATTTGGGAAGATGAAAAAGTTTTGGAGATGACGGTGGTGATAATTGCAGATCAATGTGGATATACTTAATGCCATAAAAGTGTACACTTAAAAATGGTTAAAATGGTAAATTTTATGTTATATATATTTTATCACAATAAAGACATTTATTTTGTACTTCAAGGACCTTTTGTACTGAACTGTGTTCCTTCAAAATTCCGTACCCTTTCCCAAAGGACAGGTTCTGTGAGCTTCCAAGTTGGTGAATACATGGAGGAGTGGGAAAATGGTGTGCCTGGAGAGGGCATGGAGGCTTCATGCCCTTTTCCATGCCTTGCCCTGTGCATCTCTTCCATCTGGCCTTCCTGACTTACCATATTTCCCCATGTTTAAGACGCACCATAATTTGGGGGCCTGAAATTTGAAAAAAAAATGTATTACATAAAGTAATTGAACTCAAGTTTTATTCATCATAAAATTCGTACAACTCCTCATCACTGTCAAA